TTTTTTTTTTGTAGGGAAGATTGGCCCTGAGCTAACATCCAATGCCAATCCTCTTCTTTTTGCTGAGGAAGATTGGCCCTGGGCTAACATCCATGCCCATCTTCCTCTACTTTATATGGGACGCTGCCACAGTATGGCTTGACAAGCGGTGCATCGGTCCGCACCTGGGATCCAAAACTGCGAACCCTGGGCAGAAGAAGCAGAGTGTGTGAACTTAACCACTATGCCACTGGGCCAGCCTGATTTTGTCTTTTTTTGTGGCTGAGTAGTATTCCATTGTATATATATACACCACATCTTTTTTATCCATTCATCAGTCGACGGGCACTTGGGTTGCTTCCACGTCTTTGCTATTGTGAATAATGCTGCAATGAACATAGGGGTGCATAAGTCTCTTTGAGTTGTTGATTTCAAGTTCTCTGGATAAATACCCAGTACTGGAATAGCTGAGTTGTACGGTATTTCGATTTTTCATTTTTTGAGAAATCTCCATACTGTTTTCCATAGTGGCTGGAACAGTTTGCATTCCCACCAGCAGTGTATGAGGGTTCCCTTTTCTCCACGTCCTCTCCAACATTTGTTGTTTTTTTGTCATGGTAATTATAGCCATTCTGACAGGTGTAAGGTGATAGCTCATTGTAGTTTTGATTTGCATTTCCATGATGATTAATGATGTTGAACATCTTTTCATGTGCCTGTTGGCCCTCCATATATCTTCTTTGGAAAAATGTCTGTTCATATTCTCTGCCCATTTTTCGATTGGGTTGTTTGTTTTTTTGTTGTTCAGTTGTGTGAATTCTTCATGTATTTTGGAGATTAACTCCTTGTTGGATATATGATTTGCAAGTATTTTTTCCCAGTTGGTGGGTTGTCTTTTTGTTTTGTTGATGGTTTCCTTTGCCTTAGAGAAGCTCTTTGGTCTGGTGAAGTCCCATTTGTTTATTTTTTCTTTTGTTTCCCTTGCCAGAGTAGAATGGTATTCGAAAATATCCTTCTAAGACTGATGTGAAAGAGTGTACTGCCTATATTTTCTTCTAGGAGTTTTATGGTTTCACATCTTACCTTCATGTCTTTGATCCATTTTAAGTTAATTTTTGTGTATGGTATAAGATAATGGTCTACCTTCATTCTTTTGCATGTGGCTGTCCAGTTTCCCAACAGCATTTATTGAAGAGACTTTCTTTTCTCCACCATATGTTCTTGGTTCCTTTGTCAAAAATTAGCTGTCTATAGGTGTGTGGTTTTATTTCAGGGCTCTCAGTTCTGTTCCATTGATCTATGTTTCTGTCTTTTTGCTATTACCATGCTGTTTTGATGACTATAGCTTTGTAGTATATTTTTTAAATCAGGGATTGTGATGCCTCCCACTTTGTTCTTTTTTCTCAGGATTGTTTTGACTATTTGGGGTCTTTTTTTGTTCCATATGAATTTTTGGATTCTTTGTTCTATTTCTATGAAAAATGTCGTTGGGATTCTAATTGGGATTGCATTAAATCTGTAGATTGCTTTAGGTAATATGGACATTTTAAATATGTTTATTCTTCCAATCCATGAGCACAGCATATCTTTCCATTTTTTAATGTCTTCTTTAATTTTTTTCAATAATGTCTTATAGTTTTCACTGTCTAGGTCTTTCACCTCCTTGGTTAAATTTATTCCTATATATTTTATTCTTTTTGATGCAATTGTATGGACTTCTTTTCTTAATTTCTCTTTCTGATAGTTCATTATTAGTGTATAGGAATGCAACAAATTTTTGTATATTGATCTCATATCCTGCACTTTACTGAATTTGTTTATTAGTTCTAACAGTTTTTTGGTAGAGTTTTTAGGGTTTTCTATATATAATAATAAATTATTTTTTCAAAACATAATGTTTTAGCTTTGTTGGTCTTCTCTATCATAGGTTTTATTCTATTTTGTTATATTTTGCTCTCATCTGTCTTATTTTTCATTTGTCTTCCTTGGATTGATTTTGTTGTTCTTTTATAGCTTCTTAAGATGAATTCTTAGCTTATTATTTTGCAGCCTTTTTGTTTTCTTTTCTAACATTTTCATTTAGGTTATAAATTCCTGTAAATAATTTTCTACAAATAATGTTTTATATTGGTTTTGATTCAGATCAAATATTTTCTAATAGCCATTATGGTTTCTTCCTTTACTCCTAGATTATCCCTGGCTGAGTTTCCCAATTTCTAAGTATGTGGGGATTTCTACTTATAAATTTGTTATGATTTTTGGGTTAATTGCATGTGGTCGGTATGATTTCAACCCTTTGACATTTGTTGATATTTGCTTTATGGCTCATTAAATGAGCAAGTTTTGCAAATTTTCCTTGAGTTCCTGCAAAGGATGTATTCTCCACAAGTGTTGAATGCAATGTTCTATACATGTCCATTAAGTTGATATTGTTAATTTCACCTTTCAAAAGTTCTATACCTTTACCAAATTTTCAAAATATATTTATTCTATCAATTACCATGAGAAGTGTGTTAAAATCTCCCACTAAGAGTGGGTTTTTCCAGTTCTCCTGGTTCTAATAATTTTCCTTTATGTATCTTTGTGGCTGTTCATTACTGAAAAATAATAAAATTGTATATTTTCCTGAATGAAAGATTTCATTCTTATAACATGAACCTTTATATCAATACTAATGTTTTTTGCCTTGAAATCTATTTATTTGATAATAATAGAGCTATTCCAATATTTTTACGGTATATGTGTTTCCAACCCTTTTATTTTCAATCTTTCTTTATGTTTGTTGAGTAAACATTTTATTGAAGAAATATTTATTGAAGCATGCAGAAAATGCACAAAACCACACATGTGTAGTGTAATGAATTTTCTCAAAGTTAGCACACTCATATCACCAGCACCCACATTAGGTAACAGAACATGAGCAGCACCCCAGAATCCTTCCTCAGGTCCCTATTTAGAGACAGTCAGCACTTATATTTTTTCATAATTGTGTAACACACACTGGAGAGAAATCATTTACAGAAAGTGATGGGGATATGTTGAGAGAGAACATCTTTAACTCATATGATTTCATTCTAAAGTAATATATGGTTACATTAAAAAACAATATATTCCACAAGAAAATTTAAAAAAGTTGACTATTTGCATGAATTTTGCATAGTGAAGGATTTTTAAGTTATAACTCCAGCAAACGAGGTTACAAAGAAGAAGATGTTTTGATTGGACAATAAACAAAATAAAAACTTCCTTACATTAAAAAATCACAAAGTTAGGGGGCCGGCCTGGTGGCGCAAATGGTTAAGTGCACACGCTCCACTGCGGTGGCCCGGGGTTCGCTGGTTCGGATCCCGGGCGCACACTGACGTGCTGCTTGTCGAGCCATGCTGTGGGGGTGTCCCATATAAAGTAGAGGAAGATGGGCACAGATGTTAGCTCAGGGCCAATCTTCCTCAGAAAAAAGGGGAGGATTGGTATCAGATGTTATCTCAGAGCTGATCTTCCTCGCAGAAAAAAAAAAAATCACAAAGTTAAGAGAGAAAGAATTAACAAGGAACATTACCAAGACAAAGAAGATAGGGATGTAATACCTTTAATATAAAAAGGCCTATACAATTCAATAAAAAGTTCCCAATAGGTAATTGGCAGATGACACGAACAATTAATAAGAAAATTTTAAAAATTGGTTAACAAACTCAGGAAAGTAGATTCCTTACCTATAATCAGAGAAATTAAAGCTGCAGTAAGGAGATACTATTTTGGCTATCATAAGAGTTACAATTAAGGGGAAAACTGAACATCAACATATGGAGATCATGTAGTCAAAAGGGAATTTTGGCAGCATGGATAAAGAGACCTAAAAATGTTCTACTTAGACATTCTACTTTTGAAATTATTAAAAGTAACAGACTAGGAATATAAAAATAATTTCTTTTCAGAGACTTTCACTGCATCAACATTTGTAATAGTGAAAGCTTAGAAATCCCCTAATCATCCAACAATGGTGAAACTTTATATAAATCATGGACCTTTCTTCTGATGTAATCTTGGAGAGCCAAATGTTCAGGAAGAGTTGTTAATATGGAGACAACTCATGCATAAGATTAAGCAAAAAAGTATATATAATTGTACCTCCAGTATTTTCTCAACAAAGTAAAAGACAAAAAGTAACTAGAAAAAGACAGGAGTTGAAATGATGTAAAATATTGTCTGTCCTTGTCTTTAAATGGCAGGATAGTGAGTATTTTTTTCTTCTTTCTCCTATTTATTTATGTTTTCCAAATTTACTATAATGCACATGTATTGTTCTGCAGCAGAGAAAAATGAAATAAGCTAGAAATTAAAAACCAAAGAATCAAGGTCTTGTCCTAATAACTAATAATCACTTACTGTCAGAGTCTTAGATCTAATCCCAGTTGTGTGATTTTGAGCCAGTCCCCTGATCTATCTGTGCCTAGTTTCCTCTCCTGGAATTATTCTCACTTTCTTGGTTCCAGAAAATAGTGTGTCTTACTGGTTCAGCTTTCTCCGTGTTTTGGTTAATCCTATTAATGAGTTGCTTCCAAAGCTGGACGTGCAAATAGTGACTGAAACTCAGTGCAGTTGACCCTTTCTGGTCTTGTCAGCATTTCTCGTAGCTGAGTGGGACCTGTTAGTCATAGGCCGAGCTGCTAACTGGGCTTCCTCCTAGAACCTGACTTCTGTCTGATATCATTCTTCTGGTGGCTGCCACTCTCTGGTTTCAGTCTGCTTGAACACTTATACCCAGTAATCACGTCACGCTGTAGGGGTTACTGGCCACTCCCTCTTTCAGGTTGCAGCTCTGTCCTTGGCCAGTTGATCCTATTATAATCTTACCAAGTCAGGCATTCTCCTTTTGTTAAACCTGCTTGTGAGGCTGAACACCCATCCCACCTTGAAATTGTGTTTTCAAAATTACAACAGGGAACTCCAAGGAGAAGGCATTTCAAAGAGGTTGAGCTTCCAGTCTGAGGAAGGACGCTTTATTGAGCAGAGCCTTTTCCTCAACCAAAGAGTTTCTGCAAAGCCCCCTTCATATCCCTGTTCCTCAGGCTGTAGATAAAGGGGTTCAGCATCGGGGTGACCATTGTATATATCACAGACACAACCATTCCAGTGTCTGCTGAGTAGGAGGATGAGGGCTGGAAATACACCAGAAAGAGTGTCCCGTAAAAGAGAGTGACCACTGACAGGTGAGAGCCACAGGTAGAGAAGACTTTGTGCTTCCCTCCAACAGAAGGGATCTTGAGGATGGTGTGGATGATGTGGGAATATGACTCTAGGACGCAGGTGAGAGGAATTGTGCCTGAGAGAACCGCTTCTGATAGCATTGTGACCTGAAAGATATGGGTGTCTGAACAGGCAAGTTTGAGGAGTGGGGGCACATCACAGAAAAAGTGTTGGATGGAATGCGAGGCACAGAAGGAGAATTGAGACATCAGAAGAGTGAGTGAGAAGGCCAGGAGGTGAGAGCAGAGCCAGGATGCAGCGACGAGCAGCAGGCAGCGTTGGGGACGCATGATTGTGGTGTAGCGGAGAGGAAGGCAGATGGCCACGTAGCGGTCATACGCCATCACAGCCAGCAGGAAGTCATCAAGCAGGGTCAACACCATGAAGAAGTACATTTGCATGAGGCACCCAGTGTAGGAGATGGCATGGTGCTGTGTCTGGATGTTCACCAGCACCTTGGGGACGATGGTACAGGAGACGCGGGTATCAATGAAGGACAGGTTGGCCAGGAAGAAGTACATGGGAGTGTGGAGGTGAGAGTCAGAGCCAATGGCCAGGATGATGAGCAGGTTTCCCACCACGGTGACCAGGGACATGCCCAGGAAGAGCCCAAACAGGAGAGGCTGCTGTTCTGGGTGTTCAGAGAAGCCCAGGAGCAGGAAGTCAGAGAGAGTGGTTTGATTTCTAATTCCCATTTAAAGTAGAACATTTGGAGGAAAATCTTGCTATCAGGGAAATGCAAATCAAAACTACAATGAGATATCACCTCACGCCCGTCAGAATGGCTATAATTAACAAGACAGGAAACAACGTGTGTTGGAGAGGATGTGGAGAGAAGGGAACTCTCATACACTGCTGGTGGGAGTGCAAACTGGTGCAGCCACTATGGAAAACAGTATGGAGATTCCTCAAAAAATCAAGGATAGAACTACCATATGATCCAGCTATTCCACTGTTGGGTATTTATCCAAAGAACTTGAAAACACCAATTTGCAAAGGTACATGCACCCCTGTGTTCATTGCAGCCTTATTCACAATAGCCAAGACTTGGAAGCAACCTAAGTGCCCATCAAGGGACGAACGGATAAAGAAGCTGTGGTATATATACACAATGGAATACTACTCAGCCATAAGAAACGACGAAACCCAGCCATTTGTGACAACATGGATGGACATTGAGGGTATAATGCAAAGTGAAATAAGTCAGAGGGAGAAGGTCAAATACCGTATGATTTCCTTCATTAAGTAGTAGATAATAACAACAATAAACAAACACATAGGGACAGAGATTGGATTGGTGGTTACCAGAGGGGAAGGGGGGAGGGAGGAGGGTGAAAGGGATAATTCAGTACATGTGTGTGGTGATGGGTTGTAATTAGTATTTTGGTGGTGAACCTGATGTAATCTATGCAGAAATAGAAGTACAATGATGTACACCTGAAATTTTTACAATGTTATAAACCAATGTTACTGCAATAAACAAAAAATTAAAAAAAATATACATAGACTCCAAAAAGTTATATTATTCAAAGCCTTTTGCCTGTTTTCTGTGTTCTTTTCAAAGGCACAGAGATGCACTGGTGTGTCTTGGTGGCAGGCGTGTAAACATGTACAGAGGTGAGAACTATGGGTGATGATAATAGGACATCTTGTTGGGGGTCAACTTTGTATTTTAACTGTCTAGTAAGTTGTCCTGTAGACCTCCTGGATGTGGGTGAACTGGAGATTGGCTGAGAAGAAATTTACTAAGTCTTAGTCCACCCCCCTACCCTTTTTTTAGCAGGAAAGCTATCAATTTCATAGGCTTGTGAAGTTTGAAGAAGATATTGGGGATATGCATTTATTAGACAATTATTAAGCAGAATTGTCTCTGTCTATCTCTCTCTCTGTCATTCTCTGTCTCTGTATCTCTCCGTGTTGAAGGGTAGAAAAGGGATAATTAATTAATGAATAGTTCATAGCTGGGACTCAGGTATTCTTGGTATGGTGGAAGTATCTGTCCTCTTTTTCTTTTGAAGACCCATCAAATGAGCGAATGTGGATAAAATTACTTTATTAACTCAAAGGAATTTACAAATAAAAGTTCCCGTTACCATCATCATCAACAGCATTATCAACATCATCAGTTCTTAGGAGTGTTGGCTTTGGTGTCCTAGAGATGGGAATCCTTTCTGGCTATGTTATCCTCTGCAACTTACACATTCTCTTATCCTCTCTGAGCTTCAGTCTCCTAGTCTGTAAATTATGTGCATACTTTGTATACTTATTGTGGATAAATGTTCAGATGACATATTCAAAGTGCTAGCACAGAGGACAGCTTCAATAAATTGTGATCATAGTTATTAATATTGCTAGTAGTAATAGATAAAATCGAACCTGGGGTTCCTGACGCACCAGAAAATGTTAGAGGACATGCCTCCCAGCTCTAAACACTCATTGCTTTTTATATTTTGGGTAAATTATTTACTTCCTTTGAGCCTCATTTTCTTCTTCTGTGAGATGTGGACATAAACCTACCATATAGGACTTTTGAAAGCATCAAAATGCCAGAATTAGTTCAAAGTTTTTTCAGGACCTATGATATAACATCCACAACGAGAGATTTTATTTGTGCATTTGGTTGGTGTGGAAGGATGAACACACACAAAGCAGTGCCATCCTGTGCTAATGTCATGCTCTTTGATCTGGTGATAAAACACATTCCTTCTGGGTCTGACAAACTTACATTTGGTGGCCAGCCCCCTGGTGGATAGTAACATTGAACAAGTTTGCTCAGTCTTTCTGGACTCAGTTTCTGCATCTGCTTGAAGAGAATAATGCCTAGCTCATAATGTTGTCATGAGGATTAACTTAGATAAGGATTGTACAGAACTAGATCAATGACTGGCTTATATCAAATGCTCATCAAATATTAGCTTTTCCTGATATTATTGTTTTCTCTTGATGGAATTAACAAAAGAAGGGTGCTTTCTGGAGTGACCAACTAGTCCTTTGTGTTTGCCCAGGACTTTCCTGCTTTCAAAACTGAATGCCCTACTTCCAGGAAACTCCCTCTGTCCTGGGCAAACTGGACTTTTTCTTGGTCACCGTTTGTGGGAAGTTGGGCTTTGAAAACTGTAAAGTTTCATATATAGAGCTGTAAGTGTCATTGTCATCAATATCATCATCCTGACCCTGAGTGGCAATGGCTGTGACTAGCAGTACCGTGACAAAGCATCCACTTTGACATATGACATGTGCAGACCCAGGTTTGAGTCCCAGCTGTACCATCTTGGTCAAATCATTTACCTTCTCAGAACCTCAAATGTAAAATGAGCCTAAATAAAATTACCTCAAGTAATTCTGAGACTCAAGTTAAAAAATGAAGTAGGACTTGCTGAGCTATCAATTGTTGTGGAGATTGTTAGTCTTTTTGGGTGGTGGCATAGAATGATTCTGAAAGCCACTCATGATCAAGTGGGCTGAGAGTGAATTGTTCACATAGAGTACAAGTGCCCTAGGCACTGCACAGTTACAGTGTCCTGGCCACTGGCAGCGGCTTAAGGACTGCTGATCAGCATTGACCCAGGCTGGACTCTCAGGGAGTTCATGAATATTAAATTAAGGCCCTCCTCATGATAGTTAAGAGAGCCAGGTTGTATTTGGCTGAGAGTGAGGAAGGGGCAGGAAAGGAGGAAGGAATAGGGGAGGAGATGTGTGTGTGTGTGTGTGTGTGTGTGTGTGTGTGTGTGTGACCAATAGCTCCCATCTCTACCCCTCAGGTCTTACCTGGAAATTCTGACCATCCTCAGATCCCGATACCATCATCAGGTGTTGGGTCTACCTCCTCTATTTGGTTTGCCTTCCCTACTGCTCCACGAGAGGATTTGCTGGAACCTCAGTTTTCTTCGTTCCCTGTAACCGCAGCGCAGACTAAAGACTCAGGGCTGGAGCAACCTGTCCTCAGGAACAGGAGCCAGGAGGAGCCCTGGGCTTTACACATGGAGTGTCTCCTGGGACCCAATCCAAGATGTCCTAGTTAGAGACAAGATGGAGCAATGTCCAACCCCAGCTGTCCCCTTGGGGCCCTGGAGTCCTGAGTCCCAGTAGTGTCAAGAACACCTTAGTTTCAGAGTGACCAGGTCGGGAATCCTGAGAACACTGCTCATGGTACCCCTCCCTTGGGCATGGGAGTAGGAAGGCTCCATCTCCCCTACCCTAACCTGCTATGGATTCTACACATTGTAATCAAATTCATAAAGAAAACCTATCATTTCCCAGAAAATAAATAATAATAAATGAGTTGAACAGATTTGATGTAGGGTGGGCCACACAATCATTGTTTTCAAATTTCTATAGTTTTGTACATAGAAAAAGTGAACAGCCTTGTTCCCTGTGAATCCAGAGACTAGAGATATGGCTCATCTGTAAAATCTGCCAAAGTAATAGGAGCTTCTGTATGCAAGTTTACTTTAAATTTTTTAAATTGTAAAATACATCATACTATACAAAAAAGAGTGTGTAAAACGTGTACACACAGTTTTCTTATGGTTTTACCAGATATGCATATAAGCATAAATCATGTATTGTTTATATTTGCCTATTTTTGTCTTTTACAGGAATGGAATCATTTAGCTTCTTTCACTCAATATTATGTTTTGACGTACATTCATTTTGATACTTGTAGCTACAGGTCATTCTTTTTCACACTGTATAGTAAAGGTTCACACTGTCCTACCTAATATCTTTAGGGGTTTTCATTTTGGAATTCAGAATGTTTCCAATTTTAGAAAAGACTACTGTGCATGTATCATTATTTATGTGATACCACCCATAGATTCTAATACTAAACATTAAAATCAAATACAGTAATATTTTAGCAAGAAAATGTATGAATATTCATACCAAGTGAGATAAACACATATTTTTAAATAGCCACATGTCAATCCAGGTCGAATTTTTCTACAGAATGAGTTTGCAGAAACTCTATAAATTACCTTTCATTCATTTTTGGATTTTAGGATTGCAGCTAAGGGATTGTGGACTTACATTCCATTGTAGGATTGTACCATAGTGTATTTGTCCATTCCAGCGTTGATGGACATTTGAGTTTGTTGCCAGGTTTTTGCCATTTTTTTCCCCAAAATTATTTATCATCTCAAGTGTTACTCCTCCTATTCTCATTAAAAAATGAAAAAATGACATTTGAATAAATGTAACCTGGCCTTCTCCATTGTTCATTTCTTCTTTAAAAAATTTTTCTGCATGAATATTGGAGGAACATTTTAGACCACCATCCTCTAAAGAGAATGCCTCCACAATAACAATCATTTATCATTTCTTTGTTCTATTGTTAATATTTTAGTGATAGCCCAAACTTTATTATTTCAGCAGAAATGGCTAGATAGGGCCAGCCTGGTGGCATAGTGGTTGGGTTTGTGCTTTCCACTTTGGTGGCCTGGGGTTCACGGGTTTGGATCCCAGGCATGGACCTACACACTACTCATCAAGCCTTGCTGTGGTGGTGTCCCACATACAAAATAGAGGAAGTCTGGCACAGATGTTGGCTCAAGGACAGTCTTCCTCAAGCAAAATGAGGAAGATTGGCAACAGATGTTAGCTCAGGGCCAATCTTCCTCACCAAAAAAAAAAAAAGGCTAGAGAACTGGGATTTTGTTTCCTATCTCTTTTATACCAAGTTAAGTTAGATTATTTT